GCGAACAGGGCAGTTGGAATTGTTGAGATCGTGCAGTTGACTGCTGAGTGCTGACGGAAAGCGCCTTGTGACTTTTATTGTGAGTCGTTACCTGTACACGGACAAAGCGCTGTACTGAAGAAATTCTCTGCCTGCAACGAAATTCCTTTCTCGATCTCAGACTACATATTTCTCGACCCTTGTCAGTGTTGCCTTGGCTGGGGGCACGATGGCAGATAGCATGCCAATTTCTCGTTCGCATTTCATATGAGAACGTACAAAGTAAGGCATTCGAAGAACAAAGAAAAAGCATATAGGAAGAACAAAGAAAAAGCATATAGGAAGAACAAAGTAAGGCCTTTTGTGGATTGTAATCCTATAGAAAAATTTAATGTATGTACTTTGGGATAAAAGAAATCCTATGAAATTAGATTACTATCGAATGTGTGAAACTATAGGAATTTTGGAGAGAAACTAGTGTGAGGTTCAACTTAATGGAAACTTTCCTTATGTCTCTCTTTCTTAGAATTCCTGTGTTGCATCCGAACACCGCAATAGAAATTTTTCTGTATTTTATTTAAATTCTTGTATGATTGCATGCAACTTTAATCTTGTGGTTTTCCTATTCATGTGTTTTGAGTATGTTCCAACGAGGGCCCTAAGGAATGCTCGTATCATAAATCAATTTCATTTTGCTCTTGCCCCACCCAACAAAAGAAAAGTGGAAGAATTCTAGAGGATTGAAATCCTATAGGTAAATTTCTATGAACCCTTTGAGACAAATATTAGGTTCCTACAAATCATATGTAACTCCTATGAAATTACTTGTTTCATATGAATTTTAGAGAAATTTTACCAAGAGATTGAACCTCATTGAAATTTACTTTGCACTCTCATTGATTTCGTGTTTTTTTTTTCCTATGCCTCATCCAAACGTTTAGGCCCCCTCCTTTGGATTTGAGGACTTTTGGAGGAAGAATGGAGGATTTCATTCCCTATAGAAGTGAGCACTGTTCATACATTTAGAATGGAGAACTGAACCATAGGAAAACTGAAGGAAAAGTACCTATTCTATCCATTTCACAGAGAGATCGTAGGGAAAGAAACATCTAGTCGGACCTCTTTTTCTCTTTCCTTTGTGTAGGATGAGGCAAATGTGCCTTATTGCTAAGGATGCAACGCTCTTAGCAGCCTACAAGTAACATTTGAGAAGATTAATACAGTATGACTAGTTAATCCATAACTATCTTTCCAATTCCTTTCATATGCTCTATCTAAACGGTTTTGCACATGCATTCCTCTGTGTTTCTCAATCTTCTATTCCACACATGCATTCCTACAAAAATCCTACGTTTTTTTTTTCAATTCCTATGTTTAATCATTTCTGTTTTTCAAAGGAGCCCTCAATCTTGTACTTTTCCATGCACATGATTAAAGATGTTACAACATTCTATCCCTACAATTTTTTTTCTACTCCTATGTTCTTTACAACATTCTATCCCTATTTTTTTTTTCTATTCCTAATTTTTTCCTATTCCTACCCTACTGTCGCACCTTTTTTTGAAATTTTTTCAGAAATTGTATGGTATACACACGCGTGAGCGTTCGGTGGTACTGCGTGTTTTCCACGCTCTTCTTTGCGTGTGTACGGATGTGCACAGTGTGTGCGCATTTGGTGTGAGTGATCATCCAAGTTGAACCGATAAAAAATAAAAAGGACGAGATCTAAACAAACGTGGTAATGCTGCATGAACAAAAACTAACACATGACTTCGCTGCCGCCCCATCTTTGTATGAAGAAAAAAAGGTCTCTCAATTATACACGTGCTTCTTGCGATTCGATGTATTGCACTGGCCAAGTGTGGAGTTTGAATAATTGAGAATCTGATAACCACCTCAGCATGATAGGGTAGCAGATCACAAGAACTAATGATAACTAATGCAACCACCACAGCAACACGTTTAGCACACCACTAATTCCCCCAGCGAATAAAAACTAAAGATAAACAAAAACTCCTCGCTGGCAAAACTTTGCACATAATTCACTTTATCCTACGACTATTCTCCATCCTGGAGAAAACTGCTCCACAACCGCCTTTCAGATGATCTTCATTCTCCAGCATGGGGTCCTTGACACCTAAGAAAAGGGCGTACCCAGTGTAGAGAGCTCCCGCTCTGTGTGGGGTCTGGAGAAGGGTGTCAGTGGCAAGCCTTACTCTCGCCTGTGCAATGCGAGGAGACCGCGACTCGAACCCGGGACCTTCCAGTCACAGGCGGTAAGACTCTACTGCTTGCACCAGGCCCACCCTTCGGGTTCTTGACACCTGATTGGGAAAAAAAAAGGTAGCAAGGTTATCAAGTTGTCCAACTAATGCACTGTGATTAGTCACGGTTAGTCGATTACAATTTGAAAACATTGCAAGGCAGCAATCAGAACCGCATTTCTATCTAGCACCCATAATGTGTATAGTTCCGAACAATACTACCAAGCGACCTTGATTGCAAAACATACTGTTTTGTTTTTCAGAATCTTCAGGCATACTTGGATAAGTTGATGCTAAGTAATATATGTGAATGTTGTACATCTACAGCGGGCACAATTTTAGCATGGCACTTAGTTATAGATAAAACAGAGATGTTCCACATGGAAATGATATATGAACCAACATTGATAAAGAGCAAAGACAGCAATGTACCTTACTTTGGCTTTGGCTCACTGATGAATGAACCAACACTCTTGAACCAACGTATAAGATTGCGGTGATCCTTTACATAAAGCCAAGCTTGGAGAAAACGGAAGAGCTTCTCATTTATGCCACGGGCTTCAATGTAAAGATGGAGTGCATCACGAACCTTTTCATCCAACTCTCTGTCCATTCAAAAAACATATAAATATAATCAGTAGAAAGTAGTGTGTTAACACACGTGACGTGTTCCTTAATCCTTTGTTTGTATTGTATCATCTAAATTTAACACCACCACATGAACCAAATGTAGTCAATCTAAAGTTTTATGGACAGGGTAAAGAAGAGTTAACAGAGAGGATTACCAATATTACTTTCAGTACCTTTATGCATTGCCACAGAACATTGTAATGGACCTAAGGAGGCACATGCATTTATCTGCAGCCAACTCCTTTATGACATCAGTAGTTTCACCAACTGGCCCGTCAATTAACATTTGAGTCAACTAACCAGAGCAGTCACAACTAAAGGACCCTTGTTTGTGGTTAACTGGCAACTAAATATCCATAGCATAAATTGCTATTTTATGCACAATTATCTATTTATTTCGTTAGCTCAACATTTAAAATTTTCAAAGCTTGGGATATAACTAGAGATCTATGTTTGAATAGGAGTGCTTGGAAAGCAGCTATTGAAGTGCCTGAACCATGACTAGGCTCTTGGTGGGTTTCAACTCTGACCTACCCCAACTTGCTTGGGACTGAAAGGCTATGTTGTTGCTGTTGTTGTTGTAGCTCAACATTTAAAATTCACCAGAAATGTTAGCAGGGCCAACCACATTGTGTAAATACTAAATAGTCACTGAAATAAAGGAATTGGACATGAAAGAATAATAAATAATCCTATTTGAAGTTCTGAGCATGCTTGTATACTGAAAGCCTTCTATATTCAGTTCAATTTGGGGCAGGTCCAATAGGTAACATACAGCCAGAATATTACCTATTGGGATACGAGTAGTTCTTAGAGGTTAGGTTGTATCCTTCTATAAGTTTCAAATATTCTATCTGAATTGCCTACTACAGTCTACAATCGATAACAACTTACAATGGGAACAATTCAGGATATGACACTCGTTCCAACTGCAACTCAGAATTTGACTCAATGTCCTATATTCACATGTAGCCCCTGAACCATAGATGGCCACATGTAACTGAGCAATAAAGTCACAAAATGCTGAGTTGGTCCGTGAGATTGCCATATCCTAAGTTTTTTCTCATCAACGATCAAATGTTTTAGAACTAACAATGAATCAGTGCAGAGTCAATATGGTTTTTACGATATTTTGCACATTATATAAACAAGCTGTGTGTATAAGCAATACCATTTCCCTTAAAGCATCAATAACTTCATCAAATATCTCATCAGGCATCACAAATAATGGAAGCAATCATTATTACATAGACACAACACTTCCGTTCATTGTATCTAAAGCATCAATAACTTCATCAAATATCTCATCAGGCATCACAGATAATGGAAGCAATCATTATTACATAGACACAACACTTCCGTTTACTGTATCTAAATATCTGTCATCTTGTTGCTGCATTTATTTTGTTTATCGAAAGGATTTATTTTCTTTAGTTTAACTAAGCAAGTAAAAGTTATAGAAATGTTTGTGTTTGGAGTTGTTAATCCATGGTCTAGTTAGTAGTCTCTGAAAAGTGGTATTGTCAAGAAACAGAATGAATATGCCCATTTAGACCCGCTTGCGCATGCCAATGCACCTAAAATTCTTTCACACTTAGTGGCAATACTAGAATTGTATTTACTTTTAAAAGTACTAACAAGTTTTACTTAGACCACATTTCAACAGGGGGCATGCAAACAGAATATATCAACCCACTGCATGATAGTTTTCTTCTTATCAATTCCAAACTTCCAAAAATAACATCTTATTAAAGCCACTGGCTACCTGAATTGTCTACTGGGGTATTGCATACAGTCCAACATGAGATAAAAAAAATATAATCTTGAGCTCAAGCCTTCAAAGTTGAAATCAATAACTGGCGATAGCAGGAAATACTCTTATCCGAATTCTGTGTGCCACAGAACAAGCTACAACAAGTAAACAAAATTTGTCCTCAATCCACCTATTCTAACATCTAAATTTATAGTCCCACCAGTATTGCATAGTTATAATCATCTCCTAATTAATCATACTCGAGCAGTAAATCAAATTCCTCGAGCCCAGACATCTTCTTACACAAACTATTGTAAGAAACAAATACAAGACGAACGAAACATCAAAATTTCTCAAGCGTTTGGAAGAACAACTCACTGGAAAATACGCCCTCGGTACTCTCCACCGCCCTTCGAAGCCATATCCCCGTCAAACGACTCGGCGTTCTTCGACCGGAGGCAGACCGAATGGATCCCAAGGGCGTCCGGGTACAGCCCGCAAAGGAACTGCATCGACTTTCCTGTCCCGGGCTTGGAGATATCAACATGGAGGAAGATCTGGCTGATGGACGCGCTCATCCCACCGCCCTCGCCGGTACCTTCCGAGTCAGAGTCGGCGCCGGCGGGCAGGATGTTGGCGAGCCTGGCGACGGAGATGGAGATCTCCTCGCCGTCGTCGCCATATTCGCGGCGCAGCACGGGTCCCGACGGCTGGTCCAGGGAGCCCTTGACGATGGTGAAGGGCTCGGGCGGGCTGACCTTGGGCGGCGGCGTCATCTTGCAGACCTCGAGGTAGTGCTCCTTGAGCGAGCGGAGGAGGATGGAGTTCACGGCAGAGGAGGAGGCCGCCGCGGTTGCCGCGGCGGTGCGGGAGGAGGATGGCGTGGCAGAGAGCGCTCGACGGCAGAGTGCGGCCGTCGTAGGGGCGGCGCGGCGGAGCATCTTGGTCTTGGTGAGCAAACGTTGAGGGAGAAACGAGGGTTTAGGGGTGGGCAAGAGGAATGGGGATCTCGGCGCCGCTGCAAATGACAGTGGGTCCTACAGTAACCAAATATTTTCTCTGTATTTATGGTCCTACACTCCTACGTTTGGATGGGTCATAAAAAAAGCATAGAAACTTGCTATATTTGTACAGTTTTTCCAAAATTCCTATAAAACAAGCTGTTTCATAGGAATTATATAGGGTCTGTATGGCAAACTCATAGGTGCCTCCATGTTAATTGGCTTTGCTCTCTGTGCCTTTGCACACTAAGTACAAGCACAGCTGCCTTCTCCATGTTGGCTATTGGTGTCATTTGGCTAGTCTTTAATCAACAGCAATTTCAAATATCTCTTTGCATCTTTCTTTACTGATAGAAATAGTCATTTTTACAAAAAAAAACTCTCATTAAACATTTTCTTTAATTAGATCTCCAAAAATGATTGATTAGATAGTACAGTTCAAGTTTTGGGTCAACCTGCATCACTATGTAAGGACATGATAGTTTGTTTCAAACGGTTTTATAGAAAAAATTTCTATGAAGTGCACTTCTAGATATGTTTCACCTAGTGCAAGTAGTTTTTTTTTCCTTTTTTACTCTCTCTATCTATGTTCATAATGCAATCATTATATGCTCAAATAACTTTTCAGAGAGATAAATAATTCTCAAGTAATTTAACTTGATCTCCTCCATAAATCCTAAAAGTACACTTATTTTAGAATGGAGGAAGTAATAGATACCTGAATAAACGTGCAATATGTTTATCGAGAAGTCAAACTTCTTTAATTTTAACTAGATTATGAAATTATACTCCATGATCAATGTTCTATAAGCTTGTCTTGCATACAAAATTTTAGGGTACCCACGTCCATAATAATGCTTATTACTCCCTATGTTAATTTTTTTTATGTCACATTAGCTTTATCCTAAGTCAAATAATATTATCTTTGACCATATATTTAAAAAATTCTAATACTTTTATAACATCAAAATTATGTATTATGAAAGTTACTTTTTATAATTAATCTAAAAGCATAATTTTATATTACGGATCTATATAAATTTCTATAAACTAATATTCAAAGATACAAATGTATGATTTAGGATAAAGCAAATACGATATGTAAATAAAAAGAAAAGAAATATTACATATGATAAATATTAATATTTTTATGTATATTTTAAGATATTTAACTCATAAATAAACGAGGGGCTTGTTCGCTGGTTGATGCTTTTAGGCTAGCTGGTCTTGGTTTTTTTAAGAGAAAAACAATATTGATTGGCTGAAACTAACGAGCGAACATGCTGGAGATCTATACTTTATTGGCACGGAGCGGAGACACGCGTTGGGCGGACAAACCCGGCGCCTTCCACGTTCCCCCGCACGCCGGATTGCTCCCCAAGACAAGCCCAAATCTGCGACCATAAACAAACCGCACCGGAGGCGGCCCAAACCCGGATCAGACTGCAATTCCCAATTCGATTCCATCCCATGGGTTGGCGTTGGCACGACGACGACGGTGACAGCGGCCGGGGCCTCGGCGGTGTCCCCGACCTCGCCGGTGGCGGGGGCGAGGGGGCGCAGTGCGCCACGCGACGGGTCGTGCAGTCCCGCTGCCACACGGAGGAAGTCGAACCCGGCCGATTCGTCCGCAAGTGCGAGAAGACGGAGCAGCTCCTCCGCGACTGCGTCGGCAGGTATATTAGCCTGTGCCTGGTGCTTTCCCTCGATCCGTTAACAGCTGTGTGTCACACTTGTGATCTTAGGGTTGTGGTATCACTTGTCCGGCTTACAGCTGGTGATGGCTATGGCTGTGGTTTAGATGCAAACTATTGGTTTTAGTCTTCACCGCTAATTTTACTCTGTTGTACTTATAATTGGCAATGTTTCTAAGTTCAGGTGTTACCGTCACTTGTAAATTGTTCTTGGGAACATGATGTGTACATTTTCATATTTACATGTCTTATAGGAAGTTGTGAACTCAGTGCATTTTACATCAGATTTAATTAGTAGAATGTTAAAGAACCGCGAACTAATCTTAATCCGCCTCTGTATGCATGTGTGATAATGTCGTCTAGGTAGTACTGCTATTACTCATCAAAGATATACATCTCATGGGGAAGACGTTAGTGCAGTGCTATTGAAAATCATACTGCTATTACTCATCAAAGATGTACACTATCTCATGGGGAAGACATAAGTGCAGTGCTATTGAAAATCATGCTGCTATTACTCATCAAAGACGTACACTATCTCATGGGGAAGACATAAGTGCAGTGCTATTGAAAATCATATAAAGTTAACATGTCTCTGTTATATTTTTTGCACCTTACTTTCATCCAGAAGAAAACAGCAATGGGATAATTCCACTTTCTTGTGTTGCCCTTTTAATCTTTTATTGACTATTTTTTCCTCTTTGTAAGTGTAGCATTACAAATTTCCTAATATCAGTTTTCCAATTTTGTTGTTGATGTGTATTATTTACAAACTTCTTAGTCCCTGAATGTTCTATCTCTGTTTAGGCCCTCTGAACTGGTGGAATCCAAAACTGAAAACACTGAGGAAGATGTCACAGAAGAAATGAAAAGTGGTTCACTTTCTCTTGGCTTTCCAAGAAACGAGCCCTTTGCATTCCCTGGACTCCGCAGTGACATGGAAGCCCTTGAGAAAGACTTCTTTGGGAACCTAGGGAACGTCCTGGATGAAGCTGAGCGGATGACCAACAGTTTCATCAAATCTTTTGGCTTTCCACCTGCTCATGACAGCGAATCAAGTCCGTTTCGAAGACAGCCTGCAGAGAGGCATATTGAGGAAGGTACTGCAAACAAGACCAAGGAGAGTGACTACTCAGAATTCAGGAGCAAGATTTCAGATGTGTAAGCAGCTGTAGAGCTGCAGTTTGCTGGCATGTGTCTACAGAGCTGAAACCTGGGAAGTGTTGCAGTCTCAGGGTCCTTATATGTTTTCTCTATGGAACAAAACGCGTACTTGCGACTTGCAGGCGCTGTTTAGCCTAGCTTATTATGGTAATCGTAATGGTAGGTGAAGAAGCAATTCAAATGTTTGCATTCTTGCGCACAGGCTATGTTTTGACCAGAAAGTTTGTCATGAATTTTCCCACTTCACCCTGTGATGCGTTGCTGTCTTTTCTTTTCATTTCTTGCATTCAGTTGTACAGTACTTCTTTGAAAGAGAGTGCAAAAGTCATGGAGTTGATTAACAGACGCGGTGCTTCACAGGGGGCTCCGGATTGTTTACTAGCGCGGTGCAGTTCTGATCAGAAGCACGTGGCCGGCGAAATTGGCCTAGCACGCGCTCTTCTCTTTTGCTCATGCGTTACCGTACCGCCTCTGTGATCAAAATCGGCATGATCGTGCCGAGCCCGGCACGCGCCGTCTACTATGGAGCTGTGGAGCGCGTCCAAAGGCTTTCGCCGAAGATAGCAGAACGTTCTGAGCTAGCGGCTGGTGCCTTTGCCAAAATTGAATCCAGAAGAAGTTTTCCACTTATGTGTGGCCGCTGGCGTTATGATTAATGAAGCTGCATGATACACAGACACGAAATCTTTTGTGAACAGTTTGATAACAGAGAAGAAGCACATCGTCAATGAACTGCAACTGATAATATATCAGCAGACTGTAAATCAGCTTCCCTTCAAGCTCATTTCTGCCTGGACATATATATTTGCTGGCAGGAAGAGAAGAGAGTTTATATATCTGTACAAAGTCCATCTTTGGAATGTAAAACTGCACAGAATGTCAGCTAACTGGGCTTCCGCTACAACCGCTTGGAGAGAGTTTATATATCTGTACAAAGTCCATCTTTCGGATGTAAAACTGCACAGAATGTCAGCTAACTGGGCTTCCGCTACAACCGCTTGGAGTATCCAGAACCAGCACACTTCTTGCAAAGTATTAGCCCTGCGTGATAAATACAGAGTCAGAATAGACGCTAAAAGAAAATCCACTGGATCCCTAACTTCAGTTTCAGGTTTGCTCTCTCATGTTATGAGCAGATCCAAAAGGATATGAAATAAGGGAACAGGGCAACCTGCTCCTCTGCATACGCGGCACTCAACGACTCCATTTTCCACCTTCATTTTGCCATCGTTGCAGAACACACACTTCGTGCCCCCTAGTTAGCAAGTGTCAAGGCATCATACATGTACAAAACGTTATAAGCATGTAACAAGATATTGGTGTCAATGTGCTATATTTACTTAAGAGTAACATCTTTATGTGTTTCTCTCTCAAAAGGTCTATATTTGTATGTCTTTCCTGCCCATCAGTTGAAATGCATTTCCCTCTGTATTAAACAAAAGTGTTGCATGACCAAACAGTTCACTGAGGAGCAGTGAGGCACACAGCATGGAGGTAAAGTGGTGATGCAGTAAACATGCACGGGCATGCCTATAAAGATAGGGTAATGTTTCTCTCCGCTGATAGAAAAGCTCACCCACTCTCACAATGATTTAGCATCAAGCCAAATTAACTATTTTCTAGGGCCATTTTACCATCCATAAATATTTCAATCTATATAAAAGAATTAGATGTACCTATTGATAATTTCCATCAATTTGTAGGGGCCATTGAAACTACTAAGAAAACAAGTGAAGCGCTCACCCCAATGGAACTATATAATCAGTGGCGGAGCTGGGCTGGCCCAACGCCTAGGGCCACTCCATGGGCTCATTTTGGTAGATTAATTGGGCCTCTTTAGAACAGTGTGCTACAGTGTAGATAAAATGGGCCAACGCCTAGGGAGTAGCAGGCCTAACAACCGGTTGTACCAAAATTCTTGTCGTCTTAATGAAATACGGGTTCAATCCCGTTCGCGAAAAAAGAGAGTAGCAGACTAAACAGAATAACTCACAAATTTGGGGTGATTCAAAAGTGGATGTGCCTTCTGCCTATACATATAAGTATGGGCGTGTGGCAAACAGCTAGATAATGATGACCCCCCCCCCCCCAAAAAAAATAGAAGATTAGGCAAATGTTCGAGACTCTATTTCCTCTTAATGAAATATGAAATACTTGCTAAGACACGGTCACGAAAAAAAAAAAGAAAGAAGATTAAGCAAAAGAAACGACACATATATGTTAACATACATTATGGATCAGTCATATACCACGATAACATCCATCCCTTTGTTTTGCTAACATTCTAGATGAATTAGCACCCATTAGCATCAGACAAGACAAGTACGATTTGCTATAGTTTCAGGCTTTGGAACAACCATACAGCAGTGCATATCAGAAGGCTAATTTCTAGAGTTATCATCCATTCAGTTCACCCGGCCAGAGAAAGAAGAATGCAATGGAGGAGAGACTGCAAATACCATTCCCAGCGCACCTGTCGCACGGCACCGGGTCGCCCTGGAAGAGCACAGCAAAGAACATCACAAAACCTTAACAGAGACCAACAGGCAACAGCCTGCCATTCATGCATTCAGCAAGAAAAGAAAATAGCTAGAAAGCCAGCGGTGGAGACCTTGAGGCCAAGGACGAGAGAGAGGGAGACCGCGGATACGACGGCGGCGGCTATGATGATCGTCTGTGTGTCGATGGGCCTGAGCAGGTCGCCGCCGTAGTCGTAAGAGGCCGCCGCAAGGGCCCGCGGCGGCTGAGAGGCGACTGGGGACGCGAGCGGGGCTGTGGATGCGCCTCCGTAGTGCCGACTTGAGGGGAAGGATGGTGCAGCGGGGGAGGCGGCTGTGCGGCGCAAGGAAGCGGAGCGGCAGGAAGAGGCGGGGCAGAGAAGGGAAGCCATGGGATGGGAGGAGAGCTGGAGGCAAATGCGGTGACGTGGCAGCGATAGGAGGGCGTTGTTCGGATAATTTCTTTCCCTTTCTAAGCCCTCGCTTTCTCTCTCATTTCAGTTATAACACTAGCAAATATAGCGTTGCAACGGGACGTAACATTGGTTGCGTAATCATCATGCTTTTTGAATTCATCTTGGTATTGAACTCCATATTATGCAAGACACATACTGCACTAACTTATATATGGGTATGTACATGAGATGCTGTGGACCATAGAAATGCTCTATAATTAGCTTTGAAATTGGACTTCCTACCATCTACTTTCTCGTTTTAAAACTGTAATGCCTCGTTCGCTTGGCTAATAAATCATGATTGAAAGTATTATTGACTGATTTATTATGAGAGAAAAATACTATTCGTTGGCTGAAAAAGTATGATTTATAAGCCAAAAGAACAGAGCGTCTGGCCGGTCACTTTGGTTGGGCTTTTGACTTTTAGAAGTAGCTATTTTTTCATAGTATATTTTTTAAAGCTGGTTTGACTCTGCTTTTGGCTTTTCTTTTGAAATTGGTGGAATAAAAAGCTTTTTCATAGTTGTTTTAAGAGAGATAAAGATAAAAGGTATATTTTATACTTGTTTAACCAAATAGCTTTCAACTTTTCTATACGTATTTCATAACCCCACAACAATTTTTCCATATATATAGTCACAATAATTTTTTTTTTTTGTACATAGCTCATAAAATGTCAACACACACACCTAGTGCCCTTGTTGCCCCGTGGCCTTGCGCCGCCTGCGCACCGGCGGCCTCAAAATTTTTATGTTTGATTTGATTTATTGTCTGATATATTGTCAATTTGGATTGTGTGTTGTATTCTTGATCGCAAGAGAGATTTGAGGTGATATAAAGTTAATGCTCTATCAATGACGTTCGAGTTCGAATCTTATTATAGGCCTTGTTTAGTTTGAAAGTTTTTTCAACCTGATGAATAGTACCATTTTCGTCTTATTTGGTAAATATTGTCCAATCGTGGACCAACTAGGTTCAAAAGATTCATCTCGTGATTTCTAACTAAACTGTGTAATTAGTTTTTTTTTACCTACATTTAATACTCCATGCAAGCGGCTAAAAATTGATGTGATGGAGAGAGAATGAAAAAACTTGGAATTTTGAAGGAAACTAAACAAGGCCATAGTCATGATTACTTTTTGGTACTTTTTACATGGCTTTCCCTTCACGGTACCGTCAATCCGGTGAGTGGTTTGAGCGGGCCATAAAAAAAGAATGGGTAGAAATTTTAGCTCTTTAAGATGTAATAATATATCGATATAGATATAGATTATTTTAAATATATATTTTTCTTTAATATAATTTGGTAGCACAAGAAGTAGCACAAATGAATATTTTTTATGAACAAAATAGAAGACATAAATCTTGTGCTACCCGGCTGGTCAACTTTGGGCATTTGTCCTAGCCACGTATCTTGTCAGATTTCTTCAATACGATGAACAGCAGCAATACGTCCAGGACCACAAGATGAAACGAACAGGCACAGCCGCCGCTCGCTCACGAAGCTGCTCACCTGCGTATATAAGACTAATAGATAATTATGGTGTAGAAACCCTTCTATTTTTCTATTTTTTATTTTCCTAAATTTTTCACTTATTTTCTTTTCAATTAATTTCCCCCTATTTTCTCTCCTCCTTATCTCTGTCTCCACCGCACGCATCTGTTCCTTACCCCCTTCGCCCGCAAGCACGCGAGTTTGCATCTTCTTGGTCTCTCTCTCTCTCCCGGAAGCCAGCGCTCACGCACGGGGGAGGCCAGCGCTCACCCACGGCCTCCCCGCCATCGCAGCCGCGGCGCATCGGGCTGGCGCACACGGAAGACCTGGCCGGCGGTGCGGCGGCCGCGCACGCAGGGGAGGCGACGGCACGGGCTGACCTGGCTAGCGGCGCAGCTAGCGGTCCGTCCCTTCCACCGGTGCATGAGCAGCTGCATCCCCTTCTCGTGTCTAGAGCCGCCCTGCTCGTCTCCTCCATTAGTGGGCGGACCTGGCCTTGCCGCGCCCCGCCCTGCTCCTCTCTTCCATCGGTGGGAGGCGACGGCGCCGGCACCCTGGCCGGTGAGCTCAGAGGCTGGCGGCGTGGGGTGTCGCGGGCGGCGTGGAGGCGGCACCTCTTCGATTCTTTCTCTGATTTGCTTGATTCAATTCTTTCTCGGATTTTCCTCTTCGATCGATTCGTGTATGGGTGGAATTGATTTGATTTTATAAGTTGTGTTTGTCTTTCTAGAGGTCTGATTTGGGGTTGGATCGATGCAGTGGTTTTGATTCAGTCTCGGTTTAGTACAGATTTGGAAAATCCTCGGTATATGTTTGGAGTACCGGAGGAAATCTATTAGATTTCGGATCGGATTGGGGTTGGACGAAAAAAAAAAGTGGCAGTAATTTTGCCTCTTTATTTCTAGGGATAGATAATAGCATCTTCAATAGTTTAAAAAAGCAATTGGTAAATTGATAAAATTTCAAGTGGCTTAAAAAGGTAGAAGCATATTTGGTAGGTTTCTCCAACAATTTCGAATATCTCGGTCCTAAAACACGGAAGACAATACCACTTTTATATTTTCTTTGTTTTCTCGTATATATTTGCATCAGGAACCATACTCTCTATTTTTTCCACGCCATTCCATCTTCAGATAGATACGCACGCAGATAAAGGCCGAGTTTTCAAGTGCGGAAAGATTGGAAATTAAGTTAGAGTCATTGGAGAGCAGTTTTTTTTCAATCTTGCAAAAAAAATGGGTACGTAGGTACTCCTATGTCTCAACATAGCAGGTTCTAAGTACCGGTAAAGAGGAGGAGGAGGGTTGTGATGGGCGTGGCGAGCCAACGTTAAATCTCTCCATTCTAATGGAGATGAAACCCGAAAGAAAATCGTTGGGGCGTAACTCTCTTAGCAACGCGCCATATCGGAATCCGGGTATGGTGTTAAATGAGCAAGGGTCGGGTCGTCACCCTCGTGACGCGTCGTGTTGCGATCTGGGCACGGTGTCTAAGTGAACAAGGATCGGGTCGTCGCATTTTAGTGGTGCGCTACATCGGCGCCGGGTGTAGTGAAAAATGAGCAATGGTCTTCACATCTGAGTCGACGGGTGCGAAGGGTAAGGAAGCTAGTTGAACAAACTAGGATCCGTTTAGGTAGTTGGAATGTAGGGTCGCTTACAAGTAAGTTAAGAGAATTAGTTGATAACGCGACTAGGAGGCGTGTAAATATATTATGCGTTCAAGAGACTAAATAGAAGGGTCAGAAGGCGAAGGAGGTGGACAATACTTGTTTCAAGCTTTGGTACATAGGAACAGTTGCGAATAGAAATGGAGTAGGAGTTTTGATTGATAAGAGACTCAAGAATAATGTGGTGGGAGTGAGAAGGCAAAGAGATAGGATTATCTTAGTCAAGCTTGTCATTGGTGATATGGTTTTAAACGTAATTAGTGCGTATGCCCTCAAATAGGCCTCGACGAGAGTGCTAAGAGATAGTTCTGGGAAGACTTAGATGGCCTGATTAGAGCTGTACCTAGTAGTGAGAAGCTTTTTATAGGAGATCTTAATGGGCATGTAGGTACTACAAGCGCAGGTTTTGAGGCAGTTCATAAAGGTTTTGGGTATGGTAGTAGGAATCAGGAGGGGGAGGACGTTCTGGACTTCGCAGTAGCTTTTGACCTGATGATAGCCAACACTTTCTTTAGAAAGAGAGAATCCCATCTAGTGACCTTTAGTAGCGGATAACACTCTAGCCAGATTGACTTTGTCCTCACAAGAAGAAAGGACAAACGAGCATGCTTAGGTTGCAAGGTGATACCAGAAGAGTGTGTTGTTTCTCAACATAAGCTTTTGGTGGCAAACTTTCGTTTTCAGGTGCGTGCCCGTAGGGATAAACAAGCTAAGATTGAAAGAACAAAGTGGTGGAAACTGAAAGGGGAGACGTCAGGGAAAGGGTTATCAAAGAGGGCTCTTGGAAGGAAGAAGATTACATAAACAACATGTGGGAGAAGATGACAACCAACATTCGGAAGGTGGTCTCAGAGATGTGTGGAGTAACCAAAGGAAGTGGAGGCGAGGCTAAAGATACTTAGTGGTGGAACGAGAAAGTCCAAAGGGCTATTAAGGAGAAGAAAGAATGCTATAGACGCTTGTACCATAACAGGAGTGTGGACAACATAGAGAAGCACAAGGTGGCAAAGAAGACTGCAAAGCGAGTTGTAAGTGTGGCAAAGGGTAGAGCGTACGAGGATCTTTACCAACATTTGAGTACGAAGGAAGGAGATAATGACATTTATAGGATGGCTAGAGTTCGTGAGAGAAAGACAAGAGACTTCAACCAAGTTAAGTGTATTAAGAATAAAAGGGAGAATCTCTTGGCGAAGGAGGATGGGATCCGACATCGATGGCAAGAATATTTTGACAAATTGTTCAATGATGAGAATACGAACACAACCTTTCAGTTGGATGACTCTTTTGATGACACCAATAGGCGCTTTGTGCGGAGAATCCAAGAATATGAGGTCAGAGAGACGTTGAAAAGGATGAAAGTAGGTAAAGCGATGGGACCGGATGGTATCCCAATCGAGGTGTGGAGATGCCTCGGGGACATAGCTATAGTATGGCTAATCAAGTTGTTCAACCATATTTTTCGATCGAACAAGATGACTGATGAGTGGAGGAGAAGTATGTTGGTACCGATCTACAAGAATAAAGGGGATATTCAAAGTTGTACTAATTACCGGGGAATTAAGTTGATGAGTCATACTATGAAGCTATGGGAGAGAGTTATCGAGTATCGCTTGAGAGCAATAACGCGGGTCTCTATGAACCAATTTGGTTTCATGTCCGAAAGGTCAACCATGAAAGCTATTTTCTTAATAAGGCAAGTGATGGAGCGGTATAGGGAGAAGAAGAATGATCTACACATGGTTTTTATTGACTTGAAGAAGGCTTATGATAGAATACCAAGGAATGTTATGTGGTGGGCTTTGGACAAACATAAAGTTCCAACGAAGTACGTCGGGCTCATTAAGGACATGTACAACAATGTTGTGACTAGAGTTCGAACAAGTGATGGAGACACGGATGACTTCCCAATTAGGATAGGACTACATCAAGGGTCAGCTTTGAGCCCTTATTTGTTTGCCTTAGTGATGGATGATGTCATAAGGGACATACAAGGGGACGTCCCTTGGTGTATGCTTTTCGCGGACGATGTAGTGCTAGTTGATGAAAGCCGGACAGGAGTGAATCAGAAACTAGAGGTATGGCGGGAGACTTTGGAGTCCAAAGGTTTTAGACTCAGTAGAACTAAAACAGAGTATATGAGATATGACTTCGGCACTACTACTCGGGAGGAGGAAGATATTAGTTTGACAGGTCAAGTAGTGCCTAGGAAGGATACCTTTTGATATTTAGGATCAATGCTACAGAGAGACAGAGATATTGATGAAGATGTTAGCCATAGAATCAAAACAGGGTGGATGAAGTGGCGCCAAGCATCTGGAGTCATTTGTGACAAAAGGGTACCACAGAAGCTAAAAGACAAGTTTTATAGGACGTCGATTAGACCTGTTATGTTGTATGGTGCAGAATGTTGGCCTACGAAAAAACGACATGTTCAACAGATAAGTGTCGCGGAAATGCGTATGTTGCGTTGGATATGCGGACATACAAGAAGGATCGAGTTCGGAACGATGATATACGTGATAGATTAGGGGTAGCACCAATTGAAGAAAAGTTTGTCCAACACCGGTTGAGATGGTTTGGACATGTCCAACAGAGACCTCCAGAGGCACCGGTGCGTAGTGAAATCCTAAGCCAGGATAGTAACGTGAAGAGAGGCAGAGGAAGACCGAAGTTGACTTGGGTAGAGGCAATAAAAGGAGACTTGAAACGATGGAATATACCTAAAGACTTAGCCTTAGATAGGAGTGCTTGGAAGATAGCTATTCACGTGTCTGAACCTTGATTGCTTCTGCTGGATTTTAACTCTAGCCTACCCCAACTTGTTTGAGACTTAAAGGCTTTTGTTGTTGTTGTTGTTGCAAAAAAAAAATCTAGAACGGGGTGAGTTTTGGAAACTCTTAGAAATGCTCTAATATCACCCCCACCTTTTCTAATATTTATTGAACTCTTATATATTATAAAAATAGCTACGTGAACAAGGCAGAAAGGCACAAAACTTGAAAAAGGGCCGTGTATCGTGAACCATAGGCCATAGCGCTTCACCTTGTTTTTATCAACTTCAAAAACTCTTTATATCTTTCTAATTGGTAAGAATAGAGATTTTAGTGAAAGACATCATTCAACAGCCTCTTTAATTATCTTTAATTAGATCTCCAATATAGACGTCCTCTATTTCAAATTTCTTGCTTGTTAAAGATGGAGAGCGAGGATGAATCTTTTGATTGCGCACGAGATATAGAAAAGTTATCGAAGAGTAAAAAGATATAGAAAATCATTTTTAATCAAATGACTTTAAATAATAATTTAGAGAGTTAACATTTTAGAAAGACTTGGGATGCTCTAAAGATAGACAATGTATCTTAGCTAAACCAAACAAGCCTTAAAAACCTTTGCATTACATTTGTGTGGCATTTAGATGGAAGTGAGAACAAGGAAGGGAAAATGCAATGGGAAGGATCTGTCCCACTATGGTCGGAAGGGAGCCCACGGATCTGGGCGGCAGAGGGCCCGGCACTGCAACGGAAGCCCACCTGCGCTCCGGTATGTGCTCGGCTTCCTGGCATCCCTTTGGCCATAGACGCTGTGGGAGGATGCTCACTTGCTCGGCGACGCCTTGCCACCGGATCCTGGCGGCGCTCCAACAGGGTCCAAGAGACCAGATTCCGAACCGATTAGCACTCAGTAGGGAGAGGCACGAGGGGAGGGGCGCGGGGAATGAAGAGAAGAGCAGGTGGAAAACAACCAACTGCGGATAGGGGCCACGGTCGAGGCCCATATGATTGAGGACCAAATGGTGAGATTTGAGAGCCTCTCAAATTTGAGGACTTGATGAACATGTATTTTTGACAAGAGCCCTCAAATTCTAGTTTAGAGGTTTGTTTAAGGGCCCTACTGGAGCTGCTCTCTTAACACCACCTTCTCTTCAAGGCTACATATCTGGGCAGTAGACCTGATCAAACAGTCGGATCAGGTTCGGATCAGATCGAGAAAAATGACGAGTCAAAATCTTTAGCCAGAGCCCAACAAGACGCAATTGCGAATCGGGCCAGGCCATAATGACGAACGATAAAAACACTGAATCAACAGCAAAACAAATTTCATGAGGCTATGGTTCACAGCTTCACAGAGGCTTGGGGACGAAAAGACAAAAAAACACAGGTAATCGACCCTCGATATATAGCTTCAACTTGCTACAAGGAAATGTTGCTATACCACGAACCCTATACATCCACCAAATGAAAATTCTTCTGATAAATTGCCACATAAACTACTCTATGCAAAACCTCCACCATGTACATCACCAAAAACATAAAGAGACTGCTTTTGGAACAAGACTGCCCTCATATCCTGTTCATCTGTGGTTTGAAAGCATCATATTGAAACAAAATATAGTTCAGACATACTTCAGGACATAACAAAAGATGTTCCTAATCCTAACCATTCATTTTCAATTAGCAAGGAGGTACTCACCACTCATCACATGTTAAAAATATTGCCAGCCTTAGTTGTAAATCCTCACAGGCTTCTCAAAAGAATGGCGGTTCTGTAATTGCTCTAGTATCAGAATCAGAATGTGCCCAACTTTTTTGCAACAGTAAAGCCTTTAAATGTCAGCATTCTTCAGCATGATACCTGACTGCCTAAGTAGGACCTCCTTGGGGTAGTGGCTGTATGCTCCAATCCAAGGTGTTGTTCCCAACCTCCATAAACAGGTTTCTGTTTCTAAAACAATACCAGGAAAAGCTTATATAAGGCTTCAATGTTACGATGAAATGCTGTTCTTGCGAAAGGATTCTTTCACCAAAAGGAAAACTTAACTCACATGGAATCGGTTCAATACAATATCTGAATCTTGGAGGTATTCTGTCCTACTGAACGTAACAAGAGCAAATCTCCACTGATGAAAGAAACATAACATCAGATATTATCCAGTATAAGAGGAAACGAAGGTAAAGAATAATGAAATGAAACTTAAGTATTAACCAGCATGCCCATTTAAGTTTAATTTAAATCAGACTATGGAGAATGAAGTTGAACTTTTTTTAAAATGATTACTAATCCACAATAATAGTTAATGGAATAGATAAAGGTGCTTAAATGACAAAACAACAAAAATCATAGAATTCAGACACTGATCATATAGCAAAAGTTGAACCGAGTACCTTTAGAAACTGCTCATCAGGAACGTGAAGTCTCTTCTGAATCCGTAATTTGATATCCGACAAAGCTTCGCCATCACGAATTAGAAAGAAGAAAGGTTCTCCAAAATACTGAATATGCTGCAGATATAAAGTTGTCACATCAATGAAAGTAAGAACTGCTGAATCATGATGGCTTCTCTAAAAAGGTGAAAAAAACACTAGGTACAAGAAGACATTTCATAATTGAATCACAAACACAAATGAAAACGTTTTGGGAGGTCAGATCCCAATACAGCAGTAAAATCACAAACCCAAATGAAAAGGTGCACAAGGTAACAGTACCCAGTAACTTTGACTACAGCAGTAAAGTTGCATGATCTCTGGTGGTTCCTTGACCAATTTTATATAATTATTTAAAATTTCAATCTGCCCATATTAATCAGTTTGTATGCCGAGTATGCATATCTACAATGCTTTAAATTAAGCCATACATTAACACGGCGGCCTATGTCCATTGCACAATTTTGTGTACACTGCACACAACCATAAGCCATAAGGTTGTTAAACGAATTGCCAACACTCATAAAGCCTCCAAACTTCTAATATATTCTCAATTGCGATTAATGGATAACAAATATTTTAAGAAAGCTGTATGTTCCATAGATTCTTTCAAATGAGCTTGAAAGCATCGAATAACTACAAGGAGTCTTCAAGATCAAAACATTAATAACTTCAAGATATACATACATGATTATCTTCGAAGTGATAGACATGAACCAAACGGTCATGAGGCCCAGCATTTTTTTCTTCCTCGGGAACCTGGCAAGACAAATAATAAGAATGTTAAGGGGTCAATTTTACTTGCAGAAACACAAAACCCGTAGCACTAAAAAATAATACTATTATAGAAAAAAAATTGCCTTCAAAAGTGCCATGTGAAATCCACGGCAGAGCATACCTCTTCAATATGCAAGGGTTCATTAACTGAATCTATCTTATCTCCAGGTTGATACACCTAAAAAGTGTTCATGGCCATCAATTGATCAATATAAGTAACTTCGTAGATTATAAGCAATGAAATATGGAAGGGAAACAACAACTTTCTATAAATGAAGATAAAGGTAAAGTATAATGGGTGTACAGCCATAATGCATCAAATTCATCCTAATCAAACAAAAACTTAACACCAACAAGAATCACAAACACTACAACCATGATGCATCAAGTCAAGTTTTTTCCCAATCAAACAAAAAACTAACACCAACAAGAATCACAAAACTCACCATCCCTCCCAAATCCCTTCTAGTTCAATAGTCACCCACATGCATGCCCCTCACCACTATGATGGTTCAATAGTTCACCCACATGCATGCCCCTCACAACTATGATGCACCAAATCTTTGGAACCGTGTGTGTGTGGTGGGGAGGCGGGGGTATTCACATAACAATCTGCCAGCAAAAGATGTTAACATTTCAGTGGCACCACAAAACATAATATATCGTGCAATGTTATCGACACTCCAACTGGTATCTATCTATAGTTGAGACGAGGTGGTCGAATGCACAAGAGATCGCTAGATGCGCTAGAATGGAGGCAGCGCGGACGGCATGCAACAAGCATGGAATTGAGGTGGCGGGAGACAGGCGCTTGCGACAAGGCAGACAGCTCCTGTGACTAATCCTGCAGGAATAGGGGGCTCGGATTACTTGAAGATGGATTCATGATGCTGCTACATGACAAAGAAGATCTACAAGGCTGCCCCAGGAAGTGGAGACCGATCCTCGGGGGAGTGTGGCAGGAGAGGATGCTGGCCAGATCACAAAACCTAGAGTTGTGATACCATGTTACCAATGAGGGAGACTGAACTGGATAATGGTATTATGGTCCAAAGGGAAACCCTAGACTAGGAGATTACACAACTATTATTCCTCGACACATCCAACCAATTCAAAATCTACTTTGTTTTTACACATCCTAGGTATGTGCTAATCTGCTGGACAAACGTTAAGAAATGGAGGTATGTGGTTAGGACCGCACAAAGAAACATAACATCTAAGTACATCTCCTCACCGTTCAGCCTTCCTCCACAACTAGACAAACAACCCCCAAAGACATCTAGTGGGGTATTGACATGACAGGTGCAATGCCTTTAGAAATGAGCCTTTTATCTATGTGCCATTATAAAAGATGGTCGCGGCCTACGTGCCGCTAAAAAGTTCGAACGCACCTATGTGCCATGACACTTTATTTTTTTACCTCCCAAGTCATTCTGTTCACCTTCTGTTGGATTTTTGCCATTTGCCAGCCCTGACACGTGGGCCCTGTCAGTGAAAACGTCCAAAATGCCCTTCTGTCAAGGCGTAAACTGCTCTCTATATTTTTCCCCATCCGACCGCGCGGCCCTCTCCGCGATGCGCCGGCCTCCCGACTCCGGCGACCCCCATCTCGTCTCTGGCGAGCCCGGCTCCCCTCTCCCTCTCACATCCGCGATGCGCCGCCCCGGACCCGATGCGCCGGCGTCCGCTCGGCCAGCGTCCACCGCCTGCCCCGAGCCCCAACGCGCCGCCGAGCCCTGAGAAGACGGCGCGCGGTCGAGGCCTCGCTCGTAGGTCGCAGCTCGCGCAACCCGGCTTCGGCGACCAGGGGCCAAGCTCCCCCCAAGCAGCCAGGTCGCGCGCCGCCCGCCGAGCCTCCACTGGCGGCTGGTGACTACGTCGCTCCGTGCCTTGCCAGCTCCTCGCCGCGCCCGGGCGGCCTTCCTCCCGCTCTGCGTGTATGCCCTCGCCGTTTCCGCCATCTCCGCCCGCTCATGCCGCTCCTGGCGCGCCGCACGGGTTCCAACCGCGTCGTCGCGCTGCTGGCCTCCCCGGCGCCGTCGTCTTCGTCTTCGGGCTGTCCATGCCCCGGGAGGCGCGCAGGGTAGGGGCGTCGCGTCCTCGGCTTGAGGCGGCCTTGGGCGCGTGCTGAACTGAAATTTGGGTCCGGCGAAGTTCGGGGTGGGCAGGAGCTTGCGGCCGTGCTGCTTGCCAGCTGCAAAAAGCGCTGCTGTGCGCCGCCGCGACCATCATCGCGACGAAGTCGATCGCGATGGCCGGGCGGTGGAATCATTGGTGCCATCGGTTGGTCTTGGCCGGCGTTGGAGGCTCGAGGCGAGCGGCTAAACTCTGAAACCGGCGTCCGCGAGGTGGTTGCGCCCGCCCGGCCGGCCAACTCGCACCCCCCCCCCTACTGGCGCGACGTGGAGCTCCCTGGCCCCGGCGCATGGTGGAGGACGGGACGAAGACGACCGGTGGAGGAAACGAAGAAGGGCACGGTCAAGATGCAACGTGAGGGTATTTGGGACTTTTTCAACACAAATTGACACCGTTAGATGGAAAAGTGGACGTAATGGCTTGGGATGCAAAAAAGTAAAGTGTCATGGCACATAGGTGCGTTCAAACTTTTTAGTGGCACATAGGCCGCAACCATCTTTTATAATGGCACACAGGTAAAAGGCTCTTTAGAAATAAAACACAGTAATCCATGGCCACCCCAAGGTTCTTAATTTTTTTTAATGAACATGCAGTTATCCATGGCAAATTAGGTTCAAGCAACATTAGTGTTCCCACCCCACCCCCACACAAATTCATGGCCACCCCTTCCCCTTGGGATGTTGCTGAAACTCCACGGGCCACAAGCCCAGCTGCCACCTGGCAGCGAACATACTCACATCTTCATTAGCCCCTAGAAGGTGCTGAACTATGAATTATCTAATTTCCAACCAAGAGTCTAGGCAAAAAGAGTTTGACTTTGGCAAAAAGAGTCTGGGTAAGCATCTACAGTTCAACTAATACTGTTGAATTTTTGGCTCCTTTCCAGAAAAAGATGAACATGTATAACATCTGGATCCCACCACACAAATATCAAGTTTGATCTTATATCCAAAAAACGAGTTATCCCAACAGTGGAGCTGAAATCATTCATTAAGTAAAAAATACTCAAGAATAAATAAATAAATAAATAAAAGGATATTTTCCATTCAATAAGAATAAGTCTATTAAGTACCTTGCATATCTTGTGAAGGTAGACTCCAAAAAACCGAAATTCAGCGTCATTACAAGAAAGTTCAACCTAATAACATGAACAAAAAGTGTGCAAAATGAAGTAGCTATGCCAACACCACATCCAAAAAAAATTAGAGGATATTGCAGCCAACAAACCTTTGACTTTAAGTCTTCAATCAAATCAAGAACAGTGTTACTTTTTGGTAACCGCATATTGTGAATCGACATCTGACAATAAAACACAATCTCAGAACATGGTCAGAAAAATACAAGTTGCATAGAATATGAAAAAAACTAACCTCATGGTTTGCAGCGTTTTGAAAAGCGATCCTCAGTGATCTCGTAGATTCTAGTTCAGGCAACGGAATATCCAGGATGTCATAATATAATATGTCACACATCTGCCAAATCAATGGACGTTCATATAATCTGAAGAGAATATATTAAAAACTTGAGAAAAGGAATCCAAACCTGATTGTGATTATGTAGCATGTCTGAAAGATAATGAAGACTCCTGTATTTGATGTGGTGAGGTTTGGGTTGCTGAGACGACGGATTGTGTTGAGTAAGCCGGATTTTAGAAGGGTCATCCAGACGTAGTTGCTGAGCAACCTTCTCAACAACATCATCATATGTGGAGCGTTTTGAACTTCACAAGTAAAATTCAAATATTACTGTGAATATTGTTGCAATGTTATCAATAAATGGATGCTACTCAACAAAAATAACAACACATACAGCTCCAGAGAGAAGCCTTCTTCTTTTGGTTTCTCAAGCAATCTGAAATGGACAACCTACAAATAATAATAGGAATCAATTGTCAGAAAACAAATATAAATTATGAAGAACCATTAGAATGCAGTAGCAGTAGCAGTAGCATCTAACAGCCTACAGGCAAACAAACACCCGCCAAATAAGAAGATTGAGGGCCCGTGAGATGATATATTTTAATCAGACTTTACAACCAAAATGCAGCTATGTCATAAACAATTATATCTGGTACAATATTATCATACTAGTAACTAATTAATGTAATTACACTCTTACGATAAAATTGAGCTCACTCAAGAGGTCTGAACTATGAAGTCAAATGCCACCCCTGCCCCCACAAACACACCAAAAAAATATGACAGGTGCAGCAACGTTATTTGGAGCAATTTTAAGCCATTCCATTTCTCAAAAAATCAGAAGCAGATAGACTGCACGCAAATTGATCTCCATAGAAATTTCCCCAAACTACAAAGATGTTACAGTGGCATTTATGAAAAAATAGCTAAGATGTTTTAGAATCCGCTACGAATAAAAAAATCATGTCACCTACCTGCCACCATAAGATCCCACAAATATAGCCTAGATAAAAACTAAGTGAATCCAGAATCAAACTCAGGGCCTCCCCATTGATGCAGCACATGCACGTAACCGTCATTGTGCACATCAATGAGCTAGTTATGTTAGACTCACTTACTAGAGGAGGATAAGGAAGAAAATAAATTGAGGCATTGATTAAACGAGAGCAGTAAAACAGAAAAAAGAAAGATCAGTCTAAAAATGACATTTCTGTTGCAGGTAATTAAAGGACTACATTGTAAACAAGAGAACTAATTTGCAACATGATCCATTGTAAGAGACCACAGCATTTTACATATAGTCTTGACATTTCAAACTACCAAAACAAGCATTTCAGATAGTATTCTCTATTGTATAAAACTTTTTAAAGCATTTCGAACACATAAATTTAAAATTGATGCCCAATTTTATTCATCTGGTGTTCTCTTTTGTAGACATTAATTTGCAGTCTTGCTTTTTGGTAACTATAAAACTTGTGGAAATTTATCTTTTTTTCCCTTTATCGACACAGGAGAGCTGCATGTCAACAAATTTATCTTCTCGATCATTTTCCCTGTAATGTAACACTAATGCAGTAACACCATAATCAGATTGAATGTCCTTTGATGCAATAATAAATCATTAACTATACCATCTTTACAGCAACATTCAAGTCAATTATGCAGTATTCAGATGACATAATATGCTAATGTCAGAGGATGCATTTTTAATTTTGCAAGCACTACAATTCCAACAAACCAAATGTCAACAGTCTAACCAAACACCAAAAGATATTGTCATGGACATGAGCCCTTGTTCTCAACAGGCAATAGATAAGGAGAAGAGCAGGGTATGCAATGACATTGCATTGCAGATCTCAATAACAGATGGCACGTAACAAATGTTGTTTATAGTATGAAGTATAAAATATAGAACAATTCAAGGTAAGCGAAAGAAATATTATGCATATTCTGTTAAGCCTGCCATGAAAATTACCTGTCTATTATGAATATATTCAAAGAAAGAAGGGACACTAGGATATCGATATCGATCCATTGAATCTGGCAAACAGCGTTTTTGGTAGCATATTATATCACCATCGACAATCTGCCAGTATCACATAACAGAGCATAAGTACAGCAAAAGATAGTATCAACAAGAACAAAACACGATATAAAAGTGAAATCCTTCGAGTACAAACACTTGGGTACAACTCTCAAATACAACCACGCATCTAAACAGTTTGATGCATTTATCATGTATGAGCTTTCCATCCAAGCAATCCCAACAGTTGGATCCTGAGCTGTACTCAAAGTGTACTCAAATGGTCGTATGTATAGCAGTACTCATAGGAAAAAAAAAAGATACAAACCTGGCTTGTACGGAACGAAACATTGCTCTCAATTGGTATGCACATCACAGCTGGTTCAAATTTTACTTCCTAAAGAGATTTAAACAATATAACTATATCGGTCAGATACTTTCAAGATTGTTTGTAAAGATCATCTAAGTTCAAGGAATATCAGGCCAAATGTTCCAGCCAAAAAAAAAAAAAAAATTCTAACCTCATAGAGCTCAATATCTTCATCAGACGGAAATCCAGCGATCTCATTCAGCCTTTCTACTATTTCAGATGGTTTTCCTGATGCTTTCACAAAAAAATTTCCAACATATCTGTTTCATAATAACAAGGATAATATATATTCTGTTCGGTTGGTTGAAAAATACACAAAGGGTATATCAGAGAGAAAAAGATAACCTTAGGTCTTCCTTTTCAGGATCATAGAGCTTGAAGAAAAGTAATATATCTTCTTTGGTCTTCCCAGGAGCAATTTGTTGATTCTCCTGGATGTGCCAGAAACTATGTTAGACAGTAAAGAAATAATCAAAAGGCAAATGAGAAGTAAGATTAGGTAAATGAATAATATCAATTAAAAACTGGGATCAAAAGCAATTGAAAAGGTATTTAATCACTTAACCTGTCCCAAATGAACCTCCAAGAACAACCGTACTTCAGAATTCGGTAACTTTGACACTATTGCGTCTTTGAGAAACGCAATCTGAACAAAGGAGAAAACATTACTATAATTGTGAATCAACACTAACAAATATAAAATAAATGAAATCTTAACCAAACCACCAGGATTGGCAGATATCAAAATAATGTTTGGAGGTTACAACATAAACAAAACAAGAACGAAATAAGAAAGCGGATACTCAGTCCATTTTTTTGTAAGGCATATTAGCATTTGAGAAAATCTTTCAAGGCATACTTTGGCCATTACTTTTTGTTACAGCATATTACCAATTACTACAAAACCAGCATTTTGCTTAAAGGGATACAGAGTATGAATCCACTGTTGCATCTTTTTGCATACAGACTAATTGATGGTCAAGTTTATAATGTTGACTTTTTTTTAATTCTAGCACACCCTGCACTTTGAAATGGAGAGAGTACTAAACAGCCGTCATCAAAATGAATGAAAAAGTTGAACATGAGCACGCATGAGGACCTGGCTGATTAGTTGCATTAGCCATCAAGCTATATATTGTGAGTTGTGACATGAGCTATACAACCATTGTATAAGCTCAATTTAAGGCATTCATATAAAAATGCAATAAAAAAAGTACTTCATCTATTTTTTAAATATATGACGTTTAGGACAAGCTAATTAGTTAAAATGTCATATATTTATGAACGGAGGTAGTACTAATTGTTCAGTTCATATCATTTCAGACGCCACTAAAGCCCCCAAGTACCTGAAAAATCATCATGCAATTTAAAAATATGTCATTTAGTCATTGATAGGCGAAGAGAGGAAGCACATGCATGAACAATCAGGAGACCTAGGGGATGTTTTGTTTCTTTGCCCACATGAGCTAGCTGAGCAAGGATTGCCTCGCCACTGCGCTATGAACCAATTCATTTGACCTTTGTACAGTGCTGTTCTTTTGCTGTTCATTTGACCTTTGTACAGTGTTGTTCTTGTTTCCTTTTGTTTAATAAAACTTACAGTGGGGGTCTCCCCTGCTGTATTTTCCGCTCAAAAAAAAGCAAGAATTGCATCACCTTTCCTAGCAAAGCTACACAAGCAAAGTGTTGTGTGTTAGGTTCCCATGTGTTGTGAAGTATTAGTGGATTGCCCACCTCTTCCCAATCGCTTAAGCTTTTGGGTTCACTTGGTGCATGAAACCTAACATGGTATCAAAGCCAGAAGTCTCGAGTTCGAGTCCTGGTAGAGGCATCTTTTAAGTCTTACGCTCCCTTCTTTATTTCCACGTTTGCGCCTTGTTCTGGCTGCACGTGAGTGGGAGTGTTGTGAAGTATTAGTGGATTGCCCACCTCTTCCCAATCGCTTAAGCTTTTGGGTTCACTTGGTTGGTGCATGAAACCTAACACCATGCTCAACAGTTATCCTCTTTCTGTTGGACCTTTTCCAATCATCTTCCTTCTCCAATCAAATGTGATTTTTGCTACTTCAATGAGCTGCCTGCTTACATCCTCCTTTATTCACACCCGCAGCCAACATTGAGAATGACAACGACATAACAGATGCACCTAAGCATCTATTTTTCATCACGGTTGCGCCGCCATGCACCGATTCCCGCCTTTCCATTCCTACAGATGCCAGACTTCGATTTGTGCAAGCAGCGACCTTGCCAAGGTCGCCACACAGCAACAGGGCATTCGATTTCTGCCATCAAGGCCGTCTCTTCCACCGCCGTTCATGTACAGGAGGAATCCTTGCTTGCCTTGCCAGAATCACCACTTCTCCGTTTGGCATCTCTGCTACCAATTCGATATCCCAAATCGACAAGATGAGCCTCTGGTTGTCCAAGCATGACAACAGAAACTTACAGCTGCGGATGTGTCACCGGTGTTCAACTCCTTGTCCGCCCTAGCACTAGACTTGAGAATAGAGGAGCCAGCGAGCAACCTTGCTGGTGCAAGACAGCCGATTCGGCTCACTTGCCCTGGCAAGGAAAACCTTGTTGGGGCGAGCAAACTTGCTCAGCAAAGCAAGCTTTTCCCAAGGAACCAAACACCTGGCTTTGCTTGGCAAGGTGAGGGAAGCAAGAGATCCAAAGGCCCCTATACTTGCACTGCGCCCCTGCCCTTAGAGCCAGCGCGAGGTGTTATTTTCCCTATGCCTATTCTAGGGCAATATAGAAACTATGGGAGGCCCAAGACCCCAGGTTGCATGATGACAAGGCTAAGCAAGTGCAATCCCACCCTAAGCTCCAATAAATTCAGGAACTGCAATGCTGGTACCTTCGAAGAGAACAGGAGGAAAATGCCTTGTGAGGTTTCAAGTTTTCTGTTTTGATCTTTTCAACTATTACAGATTCATTATCCATTGTAAATGTAGAGTACTTACCCAAGTTGTTCTTTTAAAGAGAATAGTTGGAACGTTATTCTAAAAACATAAAAAATTGACAACATTCAGAGGAGCAATTTTCACGTATGTCAAATAGATAGATCAAGTGCAAACCTGCCAAGCTTATAGTACATGTGTAGGAAAATAAATAGAGATTTAAACACTTATTTAACACAACATTCCACTTACAGCAGATGTTTCCTCCAGGAAGGTCAATGGCCGACTGGGTCTGTAGGTACAGTTCTGTCGTTTTGCCCACACCCAAAACCGTTGGGATTCTACTGGGATGCCAAATTCTTTAGAAAGCTCCTCCTGCCAAGAGAGCATCATGAAATCATAGAAAACCTTCTCGCCATTACAAGACAATGAACAAGGCCATGTTCTGATCTTGTAATAGCAATTAGAGTGCAACGCAAACAATTGTTACAACAGCAGTCCAGTAAAAAAAAATTGTTTGCTAGATACTAACACCACCAATAAATAGTTGCAGTTATTCCAGTTGGCCAGCCCAATGACTACCCTAGCAATGTTATTTTCATGTCACAAACCTAAGCAACTCTATCAACATATTAGTGTTCAAATTAAAAAAAGGGGTCCAATTACATAACTTCAGAAAGAAAAATACTTCGGATGCAAGAGTAGGATGAGACTCCAGGAAATGATTACATTATAATAAAATATGCACCTGGATTCATAATGGTCACAAAATATAGTTGCCCTAGGGTATGTCTCCTCATCAGGCCACTTATGTTGGTGTCATTTTTTAATATAAAACAGATCAAATCCAATGGCTCCCATTGCCCTCCCTCATCTAATATTATCCTCCCCGCCCGTCTCTCCACTATTTCTTCTCTCCCTGCCTCATTCTGCCTTATTGCCGCCAGCAGCTCGCCTCCTCTCTCTCCAATCCACCTGGTGCCATATTCTTTGATTTTGACCAAGCTCCCCCCGCCACCACCCACCTGGCCCCTGCGGCACCATTACCACCACCACTAAACCACTCAGCACCCAACACCTCCACTGCCAGACTCACACCACGAATAGTGGCACTACTGACACCTAGGCATCCCAATTCGATGTGCACCACCAAGCCGGTGAACCCTCTCTACAACCACACACAGGTAAAACCCCAAACCTTGACCCCCAACTACCCATCCCCAATCTCAATTTCTAGTATAAATTTGGTGACATGGGAATAACAGTCCCCTGCTGTGTACCAAATTCTAATATAACAAAACACTTGAAAAATTATGAAAACACCTAATATTGAAGCCAATTACTCAGTCCATAGTAGAATATAAAACGGATAGTACAGACATCACAGAATTATTTAACTTGAAGGAAGTAACTTACTAATCTACACGTACAAGATCAATAATCAATAATCATAATCAGTCATATCAAACCACAAGGCCCAGTGAAGTACCTTGACATCGTTGATTGACATGTTCTTAGGTGCACGGAAGCTATTAACTCTGTCAAAGTCCACAAGATCAAAATGCACGTGTCTTCCAATTTGCTCTTTGAAATCAGTGTCTCGGGCCACCTGGGTGATTGTTTCATTTTAAGAAATGAGAAATAGTCCAGTCAGATTATGTAACAGACAAAATCAAGCCAAACCTTCAATGCAGTGAACATATGAGCCTCAGCCTTCTCCTTTTTCTTGTTTTCCTTCTCTTCATGTTCCTTTCTTAACCTAACCTGGGAATATTTCTGTGACATCAAGACAAACTCTATGGACTCTACTACTCCCTCGTCCTAAAAAGAATGCAATTCTCACTTCCCAAGGAGTCAAACAATTTTAAGATTGACCAAAAATATATACAAAAAAATTAAAATGTTTATGATACCGAATAAATGTCATTAGATTGAGAGGGGGGGGGGGGCAGAGGGAGTATTTAATAATTTTTAAAAAATGAATAAACAAGTACTACCTTAAGGTGTTCTAATATATCTTCATCATCTAAATCACAGATGATTCTCTCTTTGTCACTTTCTCGAATGTAAACAAGCATGTAAGCATTTGAATGCTTCGTAAATCTGATTGGAGTAGTATTGACTCCAGGATTGGTATGAGGGAGCTGCAACAAAAAATTCACAGAGAAACATCATGTACTCAAGTTAATTGAAGAAGTCTTAGTGTCTGCATATATTACCTCTTCTTCACCACCATATTGCTCCTCCAACGCCCGTTTCATGTCTTCTTTCGTCACTCGTTCATCCTCGAACTTGTACCTAAATTTTCAATTTGCAAACTAAATGGATTACAAATCCCTCCAGTGATTATCCAATGTAGAGCAGATAATTCTTAGATAAGAACACCCATCTTAGCTGGAAAAAGATAGTCACGAAATGAAATTTGCTTATGCATATCTTTCCACTATAAGGTCATGACTCATGAGTGACAATTAGATCAGGGACCAAAATATCAATAACTGATAAGGAATTTAATATGCATATGGGTACATGAAAAAATTGCATCTGAACTTAAAAATCAAAAGGTTGCTTGAATCACCTTTTCAGATTGGGTTAAAACAAGAATGTGATCTAGTACCAGCGAAACATGTGTGTTCAAGTATCGAAAAAAGAACAGTTTGATTCAAATATTAAACTGAATGTACCATTGATCAGACAGCTTCGGGCGAATAAAGGCATAATAGTGCCCTCCATGAACTCCGCCGCTATGAACCAGCACGCTGCATTGAAGAGAAGCTACAAATATTACTACAAAATATCCAAACTGCTCTCAAAAATTAAAAACCCATAAATCTGCACCTAACCGGCTACTACAGAATTGTGAAAATCAGATTAGTGTCATGAGCAAATATTTTGTTTTTCAACTGATAAAACAAAACAGTATATGCAAATGGAGTGCTTATCGAACTATTATACCTGTGAAGAGTATATAAGTTACGCACACTTCTATCCGCGTCTGGAGAAAGATATTTTCCATCATCTCTATCAAGATCCAATTGAAGTGGGAACTCATAACGGTCATTTATCTACATCATGAAAACCAATTTAATTTAAACGAAGCAAGAATGCAAATCAGCCATAGACAAGAAGTATTTTGAATGCATGCTTCAGATGATAACGATATCCACCAATGCATCCAAGAACTACATTAGAATATCTTTACAGTGACAATTCTTGCAATGGAACCTTTACCTACTCTAATCCTCCAGAAAGAACTGTGTACAGCATTTTTGTCTTCAACCTTGTTATGTTTCAAAAGTTTGAGCCAATATGACAGCTGAAAGCTCAAAGAGTTCAAGTACCCTAAATGGTAAAAAAATGCAACATTGGCGGTTCTAGTTTGACCATACTAGCGTGTTCAAGACCACAAACCTATAGCCTAAATTAAACATTAATGTAAACTTCTCCAATGTGATTGAAGCCACCACAATGACAGTACAAAACATGAAAAAGGGGAAACCGCGATAGGCTAAGATAAAAGATAAAAGGTCAAGTACAGACCTTGAGCATTGTATCCCGCACAAAATCATATTCAAACCGTTTTAACTGAAGTTGCAAAACTGGAGGGAAGTCAATAAAAAGCATTCCTTTCTTGGCATCCTGAAAAAAAAAAGAAAAAATCATTCAAACAGCAAAAACTCTAATAATCATCTTCAGTAACTCTGTTCTATCATTCTATGCCATCCTTTTCTTATTAAGTTCATTAATGCTTCCTAAATTAGAACTTAGGGCCCACTTAATGACCCAAAAAAACAATTAGCTAAAGCCTAAACCTAAAGATAAGGTTGGTGACTTAAACAAAATAGATGTGCATCAACACAATCTTGATTACCATGCTACACATATACAAACCATTTTAAACGACATTTGATGCTTCTAAATGTCACTGCCAAAATTAATTCACCTGTAGACCATGTTCCTCAGATTGATACTTATTGTCGCCGTCTAACCTCTCCACTGCAACATACTTATCAAATGATGCATAGACATCAGAACATCCCTTGACATCAAGTGCAAGATCTGTGGAAAAGAAGTAAGCAAACAAGTATGCTATTGAGTATTGCCTCTTGTCAACTAATAAAACACTAAAAACAAGATCATATTTCCCCTTTACCTACCATAGAATGACTCTTTCCTGGTAGATTTTGAGTCAACATCAATGCACTCAATATAATTCATATGGTGACCCTCGAATAATTTTTGTATTGCTCCTTCCACGGTGGTTCCCTGAGAGAGAAGAATAGCTGCATATCAATATAAGAGTCAGGATTTTTTTCAACAACATTGGATGACAAACCTTCATCTTGTTCTCCAACTTTTCACATAGGACCCTATTCAACTCTTGAACGTCATGCTGCATGAACGAATCATAGCTATCCCATCCAAAAGATTTGGTGAGCTCTTTTGTAGCAACACTGTTATCACAATGCTGAAGTTTATAAAAAAGACTTTGCAAAGCCAATGGAATATTCCCTGAAGGTGTATCATTCTCTGTAGTAGGCATATGATATACAGCCTAAAATATTAATTTCAGTATCAGCACCACACTTAAGGATCAACAGTAAGAAAAAAATAGAAATGTTGCCCCACCTTCCGAAAGTAGGGAATGTGGTATAAAGTCTGAAGAAGGGAGTTCATGTAACAGGTAGCCCTTGATTCTTCAGGCCAACATAACCAGTCATCCTTTTGGAGTCATAGTTCCAGAAATCAAAAGTTTTACGCACGGCAACCTCAGCTTCTATGATACATTTATCATTCACAACATATCCTTTACTTGAATCATACAGATCCAACAAAGGCATAAAAGATGAAAAACCCCAATCACTTTCTCGGGAATTGAATAGGTGTTGCGCTTCTGGGAGAGGAGGGAGCACATGAAACAATCGCAGTTAAATAGTGTCAAACAACATACTTAATAAAACCGATCTATTGGCATCACAAGTTGACAACAAAGCAATATTCAGAACAGATTGCAACTTGATCGTAAAAGAAAAAAACAGCCAACCTAGAGTGAAAAAAACCAAGATGCTAGTTACTCCACATAACAGGTCCATTTCTTTCTCCTTTTTATTTTGTTGACTCAAAGCATTATCTTCCTTAGCTATTATCTGCCATTAAGACTCGCATCCTTATCCTTAGTTGTTAACAGTTGGAAAAATTTAGTTTCCCACTTTTCAGTTGAATACACATCAAAACATGTCCAGGCATAACACAGAGCATATAGCATAAAGCATTTATGTGTGCCATTCCTCAAGTTTTGTTCTTTATTGCTCAACATGTCTTGCTCAGCACTGTTTGGAGCTTTTTCTTCCTGTATTGTTCTTTACCCTGATCCCTCATGTTCCATAATTTCAAACAATCATATTTACCGTTTTGTAGCAGATAAAAATCACACCAAGAAATGCTTGACATAATGGAACATATATAACATCTTTTCTATAATGTCTAATAAAAAGGCCATCATTTACTTGAGAAATGTCACAGATGACAGAACAAATAAGCATTGGTGATGGTAATGGTAACATTAAAAAAAGTGTTCATCTTCATAAACAATCAGAGCCAACTTCACGCTTACTTGAATGTACACTTACGTTCATGCAAGACCCCCAAAAGGCAGTAATGTTGCTAGGAACACTAAAGGATGTGTTGACCATATCAGATGTATATAATCTGGGTGAGAGATAACAGGAAGTACCTTTTCTTAATGATGCTTTGCTGTCTAATTGGTTTACCACAGCAAGGCTGAATTGTGCATTCCTACTCCAACCAGGAGGCAGCAAGTTTGAATCAGCAACATCCAGGTACATTGAAAGGTATTCCACATTATTTCCTCTGGGGAAGACGAGCACTCGCCTGCAAGGAGGCAACAAAAAGCACTGAACCAAGCTCTATAAATGTCTAATACACAAATAGACGCAATGAGCATATGTCTTTACTCACCATTTGTATCCCCCAACAATAAAATCGTCAGAGTAGTGCTTTCTAACATTCCGCTTGGAGAAATTTTCAATACACCATGTAAATCTGGATGTGGAGGTATCTGGCACAAGTTGGTTCTCAACAGCGGATGCAGATTCTGCAATACAACCAAAGAAAGTAATAATCATTGAAGCAAGGAGAAAAACAAGAAGTAATGGGACATTCCATCCTTCAGGGTTTTCATTGTACTTTCATTGTACTTCATCCACAGTATCAATTACATAGGTAAACGTAAAATACTCACTACCACGGGTAGCATAATGAACAGAATGCATATTACAAGGCAGCATAGGATGTATGCTCTCCATCAAGTGCTCCAGTTAAAGTTAAATAACCCTATCAGTTGTAATTTATAGTTTCAAATGTGTGAGAATAATTGTAGAAGCCATGCATGCACTTTGCATCTTTTGAGCATATATTGTTGCAGTATTCAACCACCGTTTTAAAATAATAATATTCAGAAAAAATTACAAATGAGCATAAATAGTGGTCTCTGATGGAAAAAAATAATAATAATCTTCACTTGAAGATTCCATGGTGCAACAGCTTCTGAGAGTATAAAAACGTAGCAGCAAGGTAACACCCAACATATAGGTTCCACACTAATATTGGAAGACGTCATAAAACATGATTAAAAAAAACATTGCAACAATGAATAATCATTTCTGTCAATTGGGGTACAACAATGATTGACCAAACCAACCACATTGAAAACAGTTCCAAAATCATAATTAAAGCAGCATAAGTTAAAAGCACTATTTTTTATAGTGGCAGAAACCAGGCATAAAAGTTATGGTTGTCAAAGAACCGTGCTATAGCCCTAACCGTATCGTATCTCGCAATGAAAAACAAAAATGAACTGGAGTGCTTCAAAGATAATGTGTTAGCAAAGAAAAACTCCAATAGATGCAAGGCCAAATTAAAGGGTTTCTTAAATGACAACTAAAAAACCTCACCTTCCATCGGCTGCGGACCCTCAGCAACATCCTGCTGCGGCCCCTCAATGCCATCCTGATGCGGGACCAGCATCTCCTCATCCTGGTCCTGCTGTGGCTGCTCCTGCTGTGGCAGCTGCAAACACCAAGAACCATCAAAACAGGTCTAAAAATCACCCGCGCAGCCCCACCCGAATCAAACCTAATCAAAGCAGCCAAACCCGGATCGCAAATTCCTTCTTACCAAAGGTGAGAAGCATCTAGTCTGTTACAGTGAAACGAGCGCACGAGCGCAGATTGTACAAAAGTTTTACCTCGGGGGCGCCCGAGACAACCATGATTATGGAGCGTGGCGTCTCCGGCGCCGTTGACCGGCGAAAGATCGGATCGCTGCAGCGATCGCAGCGCGGAGAAGAGCGTATTTAGGACAGTGTGGCTAGGGTTTAGGATGGAGGAAGGCGAAGGGGAGAACCGGAGAAGGGGAGAGAAAGACGAAAGAAAAAGGGGGTTTTCCGCTATAAAAGCTGAGTGCGCGACTGCCAGTTTCACATTTTGGGCTTTTGGATGGATGGAGGTCACAAACGGGCCGGTTGCCTCTTACCGGCTGGTAAGCCCGTTCACCGCGAAGTACAGACTGCTCGAAAAAAAAAACCTAACCGATTGACTTCTCAAAAAAAAAAAAACTAACCAATTGACGCGTTGCATCAAGTATGACTTGGTGGCAAGACAACGAGCATAAGATGCATCCGTTGAGATGATCCTAGTCTCTTCTCTACACCTAAAAGGCCTCCGAAGAAATCGTCCACGGCAGAACAAAATCTCCGACCGTAAAAAAAACTATGCGACTGGACCGAGATATGAAAAAATCTTAGCAAAAAAACACGATCGGACTGGGACCGAAAAAAAGATCTGCGGGTTAAAAAAATGGGCCGGGAAAAAATCTACCGCCAAGGTAAAAAAACTGGACCGAAAAAATCTACTGCAGACTAAAATCTGTTGCGAATCTATATCTATACCTAATAATAAAGAGATAAAATTTCTGCCACCTACAAATTTTCGTCCAACCTATCCATGTCTGATCCGGATCTGTTTGCCGCCGGCACGGATCAGCCTGAGGTTCGGGCAGTTCCGTGGGTTTCGAGAAGAGGATGAGAAAAAAGAAATAGATGATAAGGAAAGGTTCCAGGTGTAAAAGTGCAATAGGAAAGAAAAAAGATGAAAGGATCTAAATTGAATTCGAAAGACTCAGGGATTCCTGATATAAAAATGTTTTGCCCACGTTGGGCCTCTCTGCTGGGCTAAAATCCGCCTCGTGGGCCTTTTGCATTAGCGGACTAGGCCGAGCCGTGGCCTAGCCTCTTTTCATTTTTTCATTTTTAGTTTTCCTGGTAAAACAATAAGTTTGTAAATTATGTGAAAATATAGAAATAGAAAAATAAAAAATAGCAAAACTATTTTTTTAACTCCTATTGACTAGGTCTACACTAGAATAAAATATTTCGTGTAGTTATAGATCTATGGTTTCTTTCATAAACTGATAGATGATGTTTCCTTAGTCCTTTTGCAGTGAAATTTTATGATAATCTTCTATTGATGTGTAGAATTTATGGTAAAAATTTTATGTACAATGGACACATATTGACTGAGTTAAAGTTAAAAAGAAACAACGATCCAAATGAAATACAACGTAGGAGCACAAAGCACTCGAGGTGACAAGTCTATCTCCCTACAAATAGTGATGCAAGCGGGCTTAATACTCCTACAGGCAGTCCACACGATGCCGCATCAACAGCTTACAAAACTTGTGTATCTGCATAGCTCGGCCCTACGCTTGGTCTTGCCGCCACGGCGCACATGCGCCTCATTGTATTGGCATCAGAAATAGAATTGATAAGAAGATCATGATTCCATGGCTGGAACAATGATGGTGAGGCGACCACGTGGTGTTCATGGAGTACGATGCCATGGAGCGGCGGTGCAAAGCCAACAAGCTCGGCAACTGGGGCTCCAATCTCTGCAAGCTCAGTGATCCTACTATATGTGAAGCATCCTGTTGGGGCCAGCGCCCACGATGAGGCTCTATCTGGGACACTATTCGTCAGTGGTGGATTAGTTGCGGTGCTGACGTTCCGACCACGCCGCACCCTATTTTGCATCACGCATTACGCTGAAAGAAACAATGTAGTGGCACGATGGGAGTGCACACTTCAAAAGTAAGGAGGAAAGATGGCATGCCTTGCATGGGCGAGCTAGAGGTGATAGTAGCGGTGTTTGAGGAGAGGTCGACGAGGTGGAGGAGACGAACCACAACTGTCATGGATGTTCACACACTAAACAAAATTTGATCTTTTGACATAAACAATTATTTCTTTTACACCTAAATATTTAGTCGAATAAAAATTAGTATATGCTTTTTATTAACCCCGTTGCAATATACGAGCAATTTTGCTAGTAAATATAAATATGTTATATATATACACATAAAAATGCGGAGGGCTTTTGTCCTACGTGTGCACGCCCCAAGCTCCAAGTCTGATGGTGCAACGCAAGATGATTACAACAGGGCGTCGTCCGCCCTGATGCTCCCGTTGACCGACTCCTATCCGCTCGTACAGAAGGCTCTAATCACTGCAGCGGTCTTATCCACCGCGCCATCCAACCTCCGTGCCCGACTCCACTATGTCGCTCGCCCGCTGCCCACCTTCTACAGCGCGGGGTTGCTCGTTGCGGGCAGCGCAGCCGCCCGCGCTGCCTGATGAGGACATGACACCATCGGATACGACCATTGATTATAAGGTGAGCTCGTTCCTACATTTGCATAGTGATCTTGGGTACAATTCACTTGGTTCCACATGTACATGTCATTATTTTCTTGTAGGTACAAATGCGTCTCAAAATGCAAGTCTATCAAAGTTGAACTTTCAGTTCATTGGCGGCCCGACAATACCTTATTGGAAATGCCATAACTCATCCATCCAGAGTGCGATTGAGGTCAATGAGCTCTTGATGGAATGCTTATTTAATAAGCTTTCAAATAGATCTGATCCCACCTCGATATCACGTCGACAAGGCCTCCAAATCATCAAGATATTCTGTCGTTGTTTCTGCCGATAGCTAAATCATCGTCATGGGCTTGTTACTCATCCTTGGGACCCTGGCCCAAGTGGGAGCATGCTTCAAGGAGATGGAGAACTCACCAAAGAAGCCCTTAGACGTCCTCCTCCTTTGCCACCTCCATAGGAGGCCAGCAAGGGCGTCCAAGCCAAGCCGGAGGCACAGTCCAACTCAAGTTCGAGTCTACCTTAGCCTTCAGGACCAGTCTGCAATAAAATGACACCCACGACACATTCGGACTCTGTTTTTGATGATCCGCATATGAATGGAAAGATAATTTCATAAGCTAACCAATGGCTTTGGCTTGAGGTCTAAATTCTACCAGAGTTAACAGGAATTGTCAAAATAAGTCAGTGTCCAAAAACTATCAGGGCACTGCGTCGCAATCTTTTGGGCCGTTTTGGCCTTGTAACGTGTCAAGACTCCTTAGGAATGTGAATAGGGGTCCTTGGACGTCCTTTAGACTATATAATCAGTAGCCGCCGCATACATTAGGGTTTAGGTTTTTGCTTTAGATTAATCTATCTTTAGACAGTCGCCGTTATCGGTTTGTGAAAACCCACGCTGGGATCTTAATCATACATCTATAAATTGTCACTTTACTTGAGTTGCATTTTATCTTGTTCTTGTTGTGTTCTTTGATTCGCAGCATGGATTAGCCTTTTTGGCGAGGTCAATCAGATTATGACACGGTTGATAAGCAGAGGAGACGTGGTGCTAAGGTTGTAAGGTTCGAGTCTTTGTGATCTGAAGCCGGATCGATGTATCACTCTCCACCAAATCGATAATTATCTTAACTTGACGGAAGATCAAGAACCCGTTCGCATCAAGTGGTATTCAGAGCTTCAGGTATACCGTCAAGTTCGTCATCTATCCCCTAGTTCGAGTGTTTTGCCTTCGTCCCATAGTCCACCACCATATTTATTTCCTGTCCTAGAACCATCCGCACCATAGCCTTTTGCATAATTCGGTTTCAGAGTCCACTGTGTTGAGTTTGTGTCTAGGTCAAGATCTTGTTGCTGGATTAGATCGTGTTCTATTTTAATTTATGTTGATCCATCCACCCACCGTCATCCCGTACCACCATCGGTTTGCATCTTGTGTCCTTATAAAAACCTGATTCGGACTGCCTACCTTAAATCAGTCATAACTTTTACGTCCGAACTCGAAACAGGGCGAATTTTATATCTATGGAAAACGCCATAAAATTTTAGATCCGTTTCATCCCAGCAAAGCTGGGTTCGCAAAAATTAGATTTACGAAATTTGATCTGAAAAATTAAGTTTCTAGGCCCACAAGTTTTGGCATGTTTTTGGAGCACAATCCTAATTTTCTATAGACCACATCTTTTATCCAATTGAGCTCAATTTTTTGTGGTTTGTTCTTGTGTGCTTATTGCTGACAAAAAATATTAAAAAAGCAAAAGCAAAAAAAGAAGTTTGGAAAAAAGAGAAGATAAAAAATATAGTAAAAGAAAAGAAAAGAGAAGAGAAAAGAAGCACATAAGGAACACCCAAAAGCTTTGTTGTATGTGGTGCCTTTTGCTTTTTTTCGTGTTTCCGTTGCTACCTTTCATACTTGTTTCATTACCTTGTTTGTCACAATTGGTGCTAGGAACACATATAGGCCCAGCAACTAGGACAAGTGCTCTGGACATTTATTTAATATTGCTATCTGTTACTGACTTGTGTGCCACATACATATATGTTTTTTATGTGCCTTCTAAGCTCCACATATACTTCAGATCAGTATAGAAAAAGACTCTTGCAATCTTGGTGTCACGCCATCATAAGTATCATGAACTAGCCACTGGTTGTACCGTCCACTGTTTTTGCTTTGGTAAGAACCTTGTAAGAGCTCGATAAGACGTGTGAGAGTGTGATTCCACCGACCCATAAATAATTGATAGGGATTTATTTTGATTTCTAACAATCGAACAACGAGTTTTTGTTAAGGATGAATTGTAGGAAATCACAGACCAGATGGTTGCAAGGATAAGCCAAATGAAGAACAATTAGCCATCACATATTGACCATAATCACCAAGGTATGAGAGGTAAATTAACCAATACCATCCTATTCTGGATTTTATGATAGAGAAAAATATTTTGATTGGGAGATAGCTGTAAAACAAGGGTCTAATTTACACCTAGCTCCTAAGATACATAGAATTAAACATGCCACTAGTGAATTCAAATATTTTACTCAATTCTTGTGTCGAGAAC